AGCACAATGGGCAACAGATGCTCACCACACCATGAAACCGCAAGCCATCTACCTTTGTTAATGGGGTTTATATATTAGCACATATCCTACCCAAATCCAGCCAAAGAATTTACGAATATGTTGCCCGATGGATTGGTGCACACTTACGTCTATTTTGTTTTAGCTGTGCCTCCTATTGGCTTTATTTTGTCTACCAGGGTTGACTCTGGTTGTCTCCCCCCTACAAGCAGTCTGTAATCCTAAATATGCTGGCTCCACATTGTCGGAGGTTTGTTATTAAACTGCGCCTGGATACAGAGTAAGCCTTGTGAGATTGGCCTGAACAGCATGGCCACCATGAAAGCACTTCCACAAATCTCATCACGATCCTCTAGGGCCAGAAACAGCTGATACAAAGAGGCACCAAATCTCATCATAATGGCACCACTTTGTGCTGCGGATGAGCAGGGCAGACAGGAAGACACCTTTCCAGATGAAGCCATATTAGTGACTGGGTGACAGATAATGAATAGGCTATACGGGCGAATGTATCCTTAAGCTGTGCAGCCAGTGAGTACAATGTAGTGGAGGGGTGGCTAGCAATGCATAGTTTGTAATGAGGTCGAGTTCTAGATTGCACATTAGCTGCTTTCCTTTTGCAAACGATTCTGATTAATTGCTTTACTGCTTTTTAAAAGCTCTGCATGTCAAAATGAACGCTTGTGTGTAGTATATGTTAACCTGTGCATGGTGCGATGCTCATCTTGGGTGCACTGCATGCGACTATCTACCGGGTTGCGGCTGCTCCCAACCTCTGGTTGATAAAATGTTCTAGGAACTGAAGATGGAGCAAACCCGAAGAGTGGTGGCATGTGATATATGAAACAGCATTGTACTGGTTGGGGCAGAGAAAGTAAAACCGTGTTGGTAATTGGCACTTCAGAGTCACTTTACAATAGCTACTTACATGTGCATATGGGAAAAGCCGGCCCTTTAAACCAACACTGTCATTTACTGTACTAATCGATTTCTGCAAATGAATACTGTCTAATCTGCTTTCTGAGATAAATGTTGAAGTCACTACCAATGTGACAGAGCTACAGGACAGGCTCAACACCAATGAAAATCAGGAGTGTGCATAATTAGAAGCTGTGATGGGCACAGCTGAGAGTCCCTGGTTAATCGATTAAGCCCCCATTCACACCTGTAGGATTAGGTGCGATTAGGGATTCCTGTGTCAGGAACTTGTGTCTTCCTGCAGCAGGAATCCCTAATCTGACGTTTACAAGTGGCAGCTGTCACCCGTTCAAGTTAATGATTGGGTGACAGCCACTGCATGTAAACGCCGGCACACCACATGTGAGGTGAATGGCTGAAGAAGACCTCCGAGAACCCAGAAGTGTAGGTGGCGGTGATGGCGGTGGCAGGGGACAGACCTGAGGACTGAAGATTGATCTGAGAGCGCTGGAGAAAGGCACAATGTTAAGGTAAGTGTGCCCTAATGTGTAAGTATGCTATGCCCCCCCAAAAAAATAAAATGTACAAATCACTTACTTCTGCTTTAATAGGTAGGCAGAGAGATAGAGAGGTGGGAGGAGTCAATGGTGTGTATAAAACTGCAACTTGTGCTATTGAGCTCAGACTGAAGCTGTGCAACAGGCAGGGATGGGGAGGAGTCATTGCTATGACTGTCTAGCTTGAGCTATTGAGCTCTGCATGAAGCTGTGCAACAGCAGGGATGGGGAGGAGTCATTGCTATGACTGTCTAGCTTGAGCTATTGAGCTCTGTATGAAGCTGTGTAACAGACAGGGAGGGGGGAGAAGTCATTGCTATGACTGTTTAAACCTGAGCTTTGTAAACAGCAGGCTATTTTACACAAGAGATTTACGAAAAGCCTTGAAAAGCATAGAAAAAGGAGCCCACCTGCTGCATAAAAATAAAAATACACATTCATATACAATGTGTCATATTTACTTGACAAAATTACATAACCATAAGAAAATATATCAAAGACCAATATATGTTCTCCTAAACAAAGTGCCAGCCGGTTCGGGCCAAATCTGCATATACAGCGTGGCAGAGTATGTCGGGACGTGCTTTTCTAATGGCAGGTAATGGAGTCAGCTTGGCTGTCTCAAGTTCAAATGGTCACAGATTATTAATCTGCCAGGCCGCAGTCACTGCGTGGGCAGCAGGTCTTTCCCTTCCCTTATCAGCCCTTCACTTTGGCAGTGAGAGCAGGAACCGGGTGAATCATTAACAGGACTGTGACCGACCTTTATGATCCGCATTTGCTCAGTGTGTTGTGCTTAATGCCTCCATCCACCTCAATTATAAAGTTTTCTCCAAGACTTTAGTTCCTGGAGGCCTGCATGTTTGTCAAGGAGAAAGTGAATTAAAGGGTAAACAGAGCCAAACCAGCAATTTCTGAGCCTCGTGCCAGCTGCGACGCTGCAGTCCGAAGCACGCGGGAGGGGCAGGGCCAGAGTAGGTTCAACAAAACGCAAAGTAAATGAACAACTTTGCATTGTGTACAGGCACTCGAATACTCTAATCCGGGCCGCTAGTTCTCAGAAACTTATATCAGCAGCCGAACCACTTTTAAAAATATATTTCTATCCCAACAGGCTTGGCTGCTGTCCTTCAACTACATTCAATTCAACAGCATGAATCTCAAAACAGATTTAATTGTCAAAGTAAATAGTACAATAATAGTACAAATAGTCGAAGTACAAATAAAACAAAATGATTCATCAGACAATAATAAATGAAAATCAAAAATGTCCTTCCTGTTTATTTGGAAGTTGAGCTGTTTACAAAACTTTGCAGAGGACATATTTCCTCTGGTGCTGCTGCAGAAGCAGGCAAATGGACAAGTAGGCACTTAGAAAGGGCACTCAGGGAGCCACATGGAGTTCCGGGTAGCCAGAAAAGAACAAGACACCTACCCCCCTCCCCCCACCACCATCACCCACTGCTGATCTGTAGGAAAGCTCCCAGTGTTAGCCTGGCAACACTGAGAAATACAATGGGTCCCAACTTGACTGCACTGGCATTTTATGCTTATATGCAGATGCAAAGAGGGTTAGAGGAAGATTCAGGTACTTAGGTCAACTCATTTTTAGGAACAAGTATAATGATGTTAATGAAGTTTTATTAAAGTTTTTATCTTCCTTAAGGTGCCCATACACCTTACAACCATTGCACGACTTTCGTTGTGCAATGGTTGTAAGGTAATCTAAATCTCGTACAATCTGCCAGTCTTGGACAGGCAGATTGTACTTGCGATCATCGCAAGCCCTCCCCGCTGAGGGGAGGGCTTCCGATTATTCCAATGCTGAGCGGGCAGTGTGCGCTTACGCACACTGGCCCGTTCGGCATTTGTCTTCCGAGCACGCCACTAACCCACCGAAAATCTTACGATTTTCGGCATGTTTTCCAGCGTGATCGGAAGACAAAAGACGTGCAACCGTATAGTAGAAGCGGTCGCACGCCTTCCATACACCTGCCGATTATCGTATGATCGCAGGATCACCCGCGATTATCGTACGGTGTTTGGGCCCCTTAAAGCTCATTGAATGGGCTGGTTTTTCCAATCACTTTTTGGCAAAGTGACAATGGTCAGCAGGACAAATCTATCTACGAGGGACACAGGGGGCAGTAAAACAAAATTAACAAATGAAAAAAATAAATAAATTATTACACACATACACACACACACACACACACTTTAATACTTTCTAAATTACTGAACCAGAACAAGCATGCAGCAAGTAAAGTTAAGTCAGGTTTACATGTGTATTTTTTGTTTGTCTAACTTGCGGGCTGAACGAAAAGAAATAGAACAGATTCCTCCATCAACGCTTATGAGCCTTAATGGAAAAATCCCTGCTGTTTGCACTGTATTCAGAATACCCGAACAGAGCTCCGTTTGGCTGGGAATTTTCCAACTGGCTCCTTTGATAGCTGATCGAGGGATGCCAGGCGCAAGGGTGCCAACAGTGGCACCCACTATGCTAATTTTGGCCGATTGCTACTTTAAGCCTCATTCACACTGCATTAAGTTGGGCCATACGCACCTGTACGGCATGCACGGCCCCATCAGGCCATTCCCGCGAGACACAGGTGCTACATGTAGCAGCCTGTTCTTCCATATGCGAGGTTTGGGCCATACGTAAACATGAGCAGGTCCCGGTTTCCGCGCTCGGACGCAGACAGGAAGGATCCTATCTGCATCCGAGCACGGATAACTGGAGCCGCACGGGTGTGCGCATGACAGCGTACTGCCATGTTCTCCCATAGGGAAGAACAGGCTGCTGCGTGCAATCAAATGCAGCACCTGTCCCTCCCGGGAATGGCCCGATACGGATGGCCAGGCTTAACAATGTGTGAATGAGGCCTTAGCGTGAGGTCAGTACACCTAGCCAGTATTCTTCTGGAGGTCAGTAACCCAAAGCATTTAAGAAAATGGATTAGCAGGACAAAACAGCAACTAAGTTTACAAAGCTGTGAATCAGAGAAGTTCATTGTTGTTACACACATTAATGCGTACACTTTAAAAGCTCTGTTCTCGATCCAAGCTGCAGTTTGGGGTTATTGAGCAAAGTAGAGTCACTTTTTGTAAATTGTGAAGAAAAAAAAAAAAAATGCTAAAATTATGACCCAAGACTGAAACAGAAGCTTTTTTTGACTGCAAGACCTGAAGCTAAGAGTGTAATGAAAAAGCAGGGAATTAATTAAACCCCAAGATGACAGACAGCTCAAAAGCACTCGTGTCTCACCGAGCTGGTATATTTTGGGCTGAAACCTAGGAGATCTTATCCAAACCTATTTTTGGACTGACAGCGCATTTTCCTCAGCCGCCCCCTTTCCCGTCTGGTGACCTCTCTCTCCCCCTTCTAGTTCCAAGTGCCCTGGAGGGAGCCTATGCGTCAGAATTAGACTCTGCCATCTATGCCTACCATTGACAAACCAAAGCGAGACAAGAACATACAAGACAAAAGAGACAGTGATGAATTACCTGCTGTAGTCTCCTCGAGCTTCCTGCAAATGAAAACAAAGGCGAAAAAAAAAAGTTAAAGTTTGTCTAAACCAAAAGAATAAAAATAAAATACATAGCAGGTTGCGTATCGCTAGATGTGGAGGCTACATTAGCTTTCTTTCTTCAAACTTTACTTTCACCAATAGATCCTGCCAGCAACACACTTCCTGTCTTTGGGTGACAACGCTGACTGACTGTATTAGAGTTATAGAAGAGCAGTGACACCTTAGGACAGGAAGTGTGTTAGGACTTCTATGTTAAAGAGAGAACTGAGAACAATGCTACTGCTCCCTTTTAGATTGTAAAGGCACCTGTAAATTCCAAAAGGCACCTATATAGAGGTGCGTAGCTTCATAAAAAAAGGTATACAAGACCACTAGCTCTACTAATATTTCAGAAGCAGGGATTTAAAGAGGTCCTGTTTCCTGTTGACAATCCGAATGAGCACTGGGGGGAAGGGGGGGTTATTGGGGATGCTTCATTTAACTGCAGTAAGCTTTACCTCCAAATCCACCTTTTGCTGGTTATAAATTGAGGAGTCCTTAGTCATTCTTTTTGATGTACAGTCCTCACATTGTTTTGTACTATTCTACTGTCTCGTGTGTGCCACCGCTTAATTATCTTAAAAAGGGAAAAGAGGCAAACTAAGAGATCAACTCGTTGAAATAGCTGAAAAGGGTAAAAGATCTAAGAAATGATCCACTTATACCATAGAACAGAGGCAAAAATAAATAAAAACTGTTCCTCAGATCTTTTTTTCTTGTGAAGTTAGTCTGATGCAAGAGCAAGTTTTATTAGAATCCCCGCTATTGTTTTTAACTAAAGACTGACTTTCAATCACTCATTTCGTAAAGCTGCTACACAAGGTCTACACAAGGTCTATGGTTAGCACAAAGCTGGTGGTAGGCATAAGGAAACCTTTGGACACACAAGAACTAAGCCAGTGGCGTCACAAAGGGGGGTGCGGCCCACACCCGGGTGACACCATTGGAAGGATGACACCAAAATGACTCAGTCATTTTGGTGTCACCCCTCTCTGAAAAGTTGGGCGCTCGGTCATGGACCGAACGCCTGACAGTATTAGTAGAGAGGAGGGGACCCGGCGGCATACCTTATCCCGCCGGGTGACTGTCCCCTCCTCTCTCTGCCGGCGGCCATCTTGGTAGGTATCAGAATACTGCCGCACGTGCGCGATGACGTCATGCGCAGTGATGTCTCGGCGGGGTGACACTCGGCTACCGCTCCAGGTGTCACCCAGCCTCGGGACGCCCCTGGGGTAAGCAACAGTTTTCTGGTGTCTTCTAGGTTTCTCCTCTAAACTGGAGCACTGCAATTGCATGGGTGCTCCTGTTCAGGGCATTAAAAGGAGAGAGGCTCCCAGACCCGAATGCCATTCAGGATCCGAATTGCATTCAGAAATTCGGATCCCAAATGCTATTCGGGTCTAGGAGTCTCAGCTTTGGTAATATATGTATATACTGAACACGAATTTTCGTTATGGCATGTGACATTTTCGGGCTAAATCAGATGGCTCCCATGTTCCCATAACGAAAACTCATGTTCAGACCCATTCGGATGCATTAAACTGAAAAACACATCTGATTGGCCAGTAAAAAAAGTTACATGGTCAGATTCAGTTTAGTTTCTGAATGAGATTCGGACGGGATCTGAAATTCGGATGCATTGGGGATTCAGAAATTCGGATGTGTCCGAATTTCGGAAAATTAGTCTCTAGCATGGATGGAGGAATCCCACGCCGTTTCCATTGTATGACCGTTCGGTCAAAGATTTTCCATCTAGCTCCTTCAATCTACTGGTCAAGGGATGCCGGGTGGAGGGGTGCCGACAGGGGCACCCACTGTGCAAAGTTCTTGTTAAGAACCAGATGAAATTTGCATAATGCATGGCTAGCTTTAGCCCTATGCAAACTCTAAGTTGCTTATACAAGCCTGGAAACTATCTCCCCACCTCAACGTTACAGTGTCTAGTGCCCGAATGGGCAATCACAAAGCCCCCGTGCTGTCACCCGAGAGAAACGAAAGTGAGCCATGTGCTTCAAGGCCCAATGGAGTAGCGAAGTAGTACAAGGAAGGGGGGTATGTATAGCTAGTAGGGCCACCATTAAAGTGAACCTGTTGCTTTGTCCAAGGGAGTAAAAGGAAGGGGAGTATGTATAGCTAGTAGGGCCACCATTAAAGTGAACCTGTTGCTTTGTCCAAGGGAGTAAAAGGAAGGGGAGTATGTATAGCTAGTAGGGCTACCATTGAAGTAAACCTGTTGCTTTGTCCAAGGGAGTACAAGGAAGGGGAGTATGTATAGCTAGTAGGGCCACCATTAAAGTGAACCTGTTGCTTTGTCCAAGGGAGTAAAAGGAAGGGGAGTATGTATAGCTAGTAGGGCTACCATTGAAGTGAACCTGTTGCTTTGTCTTGCATGGCAAAGGTTGGCTTTAAGGTGCATTAAACACTATAGCAGTTTGATAAAATCAAAGCCAATATGTCCGCTGATAATGGAAAAGTTTCAATAAGCTATAGTAGATGTCAGTAACATTCACCGACAATCTCCAATGCTGATCTCTATCCTGTAGACAAACCCATCTCAGCCACACTAGTGTAGGGAGGTTATGAAATATTTATATCCCCGGGCTGACTCACAACCTGTGCACTACGCAGAATTAAATATTTATAAGTCAGCTGCATGTTAGAGGAGGGCTGGTCAGTCTAGAGACAGATCCAACACTGTAGGACTTGTTTCTGATACAACGCACGGGGCTCGTCTCATCAGTGCCGAGATCTTGAAACTCAGGAATGGAAAATATGTCACCAGATCTGGGCGTCAAAGAGAATCTTATCTACAAGTTTGCTGCATCTTTCAAAACTCCCAGCAGGCTTGGAATAAATGGTGCACCATCTCAAAGCATTGTGGAATAACAAAATGTGTTTGAACGTACACAGATCACAAGGAATATAAGTTGCCCGTAGATTCAGAGCACCCTTGTTAATGTGGATAACAAAAACAAAAACCAATATAACCCCCTAGCTACATAGAAGACACACACAGGTGCTGCATCACACCTTTATGACTGTCCCCCTTCTGTGCCATAGCAGCCCCACAAAACACATTGAAGGTCTGGAGATAGGACAAATGTTCACGTTCCCTCCAAAATTCCCCAATGCATTGCACATGGGACCGATCACCAGGCCAGAGCAAAGTACGGAGGCAGGGTATGCATAGCCAAACATGCATTACAAAGTCTGCAGTTGTATAGGATCCAGGGTTACCAAATTGTAAAATGGTGGCAAAAACTCTGGAAACATGGAGGAGGTTCTCTATGCAGCTATAGGGTTTAGGCCCAAATTAAGTGATCCTTAACATGGTGAGATTTTTACTGTTTTCCGGTCACCGAGACTGGATGGAAGGTGCAACCTCTCCAATGGGGACCAAGCAGAGTGCATAGGAGTTGAGTCATCCATCATTTTTTTTTTTTAAGCAACAACCCAGCATACCCACCTGGCATGCAATGCCCGCAGTTTAAATAGTGGATCACAAGGGCCTATACAAAATAGGACACTAACTCAACAAAAATCATAGCTCAGCTTTGGATTACTTTCTTCAAACGCTCCTCAGAAACCTTTTGGATGCATCAAATTCTAAACTTTTTAAACACTATGAAAAATTAGTGAGTGTGGATTACTGTAAGGAACATTTCTGAAAACAGATGTATGTAGGAGATGGGACCAGAGGTGTAATCTCAGTCTTATACCAGTTGCTCTCCATCATTTCAGTTAAACTGTCCCACAGATTAGTTTAAGAGGCAGATCCCGCACTGGCCGAGTGGCAGATCCCGCACTGGCCGAGTGGCAGATCCCGCACTGGTCCAGAGGCAGATCCCGCCCTGGTCCAGAGGCAGATCCCGCCCTGGTCCAGAGGCAGATCCCGCCCTGGTCCAGAGGCAGATCCCGCCCTGGTCCAGAGGCAGATCCCGCCCTGGTCCAGAGGCAGATCCCGCCCTGGTCCAGAGGCAGATCCCGCCCTGGTCCAGAGGCAGATCCCGCCCTGGTCCAGAGGCAGATCCCGCCCTGGTCCAGAGGCAGATCCCGCCCTGGTCCAGAGGCAGATCCCGCCCTGGTCCAGAGGCAGATCCCGCCCTGGTCCAGAGGCAGATCCAATGGCTCGCGAGTCAATCAGCCCCCAGGTGATTGGCCAGGAAGCCGGCTCCATGCTCCCTCGTCACCAGGTGGCGAGGGAGCATGAAGCCGGCTTTCTGGCCAATTGGGAAGCCGGGTAATGACTCGCCGTCTGGCTTCCCGATATCGGAAAAGTACGTGTATTGGGCTAGGCATCAAAGCATTTGGGCGAGTGTGAGTACTTGCCCAAATACTCGGTATCTGCAGCGATACCAGTATCGGTGCATCCCTAGTAGGAACTTTAGGATTGGACAAAATGTAAATGTGTTTACAACATCAGCCTGGGCCTGGCATCTACAGACAGCCATCAGTCCCTTGGCTGGTGAGCCACAGGCTTAGCCCATTAAAAGTGACTCTTTCTAGCTGGCGTTTGACTTCTATTTTCTACAATGAAAAGACTGAATAAAGATTTCTATTTTATTGGCCACCCCCTAGGATGGCTGATCTTCATGGATCGCTGACTTGCTGGCTACAGGACTCCGGCCACAAACCGTGACCATTTACGCATATAAAAACCTAGCAACACATACACAAAGTCATGTACAAACTGCAGTCATCTCATTCACTTTTACTAAACCATAAAAGGTTCATATTTCACAGGTTGTAAAATAGCTTTAAAGCTGAACTCTAGACAAATAGCTAAATACACAGATAAAATACACACATGGGAGCTAATTTACCTGCCAAAATATTTGTATTTCTGGCCATCCGGTCCTGAGATTTACACAGCTCTGCCACACAGCATAGCCTGGTCCAGCAGGGAAGGAGACCTGAAACTTTCTTTACTGCAGTTCCACTCACCCCCACCCTGTGACTAGGCAGTGAAAGGAGAAGCAGCAAAATGGGGAGCTCCTAACTCGGTCACTCTGATCTTTCCTTCGATCAGTATGCTCATTGTACTACAGCACAACTAATTGGCTTCTTGTGCTGCTGCTCCCTCTCCCGTCTGAGCTCTGCTGTACATGCCCTGCAAGAAACTGATACTAAAGGCATATTTAGCCAATCACATGGCTTGCATTTAATAAAATAAATTTGATGACATATCAATGAATACAGAGCTGCATTCATTTGCGTTAAATATATCTGCATGGAGTTTAACTTCCACCTTCCTCGCTGACTGTGCAGCATAAAGGGTTAACTACTGAAATAGGAGATTACATATCTTATAATATATTTTGTTGACATGTGATTGGTTATGAATGGTAACAGAAACCTCGCCACTTCCTGCACATCGCAGAGGACTGCGGCCCCCGTGACCAATGGCAATACAAATCATGGGGAGAAAGTCCCCGAGCCTCACTGCAGCAATCCACCACCACTGGACGCCTGCGTAGCTTCCAAGCTCTGCTATGGTCTGACTCAAAAAGCTGGCGTCCGATTGGTCGCCACGGGTGAAGTGCCCATTATTGCTAATGGCGTTGTATTAAGTTTGGATGTAGGGTGATAAGATTTATTAGCCCCTCCCTTTTAGATTGTAAGCCCTCAGGGGCAGGGCCCTCCTTACCATCTTGTCTTGAAATGTATTGTGATTGTAATGTCTTCCTTATATTGTAAAGTGCTGCGCAAACGGTTGGCGCTACATAAATCCTGTATAATAATAAATAGATTGCAGTTCGAGCTTCCGCATCGCTCCGTCCCCGTCAGACAATATGAACTGACAGCTAGAAAATAGGATATTTGTACTCACCTTAAAACCCTTTTCTCTGGGTTCATTGAAGGATACAGCAGGATCCTCAACCCTAGATCTAGGCCAGTGTTTCTCAACCCTTTTTCAGTCACGGCACCCTTTGAAATTTTGCTAAATTTCTGGGCACCCCAGTCTATAATGTAAAAAACATAAATATAAAAAATTGTGCGTAGTCCCTCCAAAATCTATACCAGACCCTTATACATGATAAGGGGCCAGGTATGGTTTTTAAGGGGGAACCCTAATCAAAAACACAGTGGGGTTCATATTCTGCTCACATCAGAATTCCCCTTTACATCAAGAGCACACCTTATTAGGAGCCTCCCTCACACTAAAAGCCCCTCGTCACATTAGAGACCCCCTTTTCACATCAGGACCCCCCCCCCCCTTCTTTACATCAAGAGCCCACCTTCTTATTAGGAGCCCCCCCTCACATTAGAGTCCCCCTTTTTCACGAGCCCGTCTCACACTAGGAGCCCCTCTTTACATCAGAGTCCCCCTTTATATCAGTAGCCCCCCTCACACTAGGAGCCCTCTTCACATTAGAGACCCCCTTTTCACATCAGGAGCCCCCCCCCCCTTACATCAGGAGCCCACCTTCTTATTAGGAGCCCCCCCTCACATTAGAGTCCCCCTTTTTCACATCAAAGCCCCCCCACCATTTCTTTACATCAGAAGCACTCTTCTCATTGGAGACATGATGTTGTGAAAATTTTGAGGCACCCCTGAGGAAGCCAGAGGGTACCCCGGGGTCCCATGGCACCCTGGTTGAGAAAGGCTAGTCTAGAGCCTAAGGATCCTGCAGTGTCCTGCAATGAACGAAAGAGAAACATGCATTTTATATATGAAACAAGATACAACTAAAGACTAACAACTCCATTAAAGAATATTCCACTTTTTGAACCATATTTGGTGCTACATCCATTATTAGGGTGTAATAAGAAGCATAGTCAACCCTCCCACCCCCTTTTACTTACCTGGGTTTTTCTCGCTGCAGGATCCTGTATTCATTTCAGTGCCGGCAGGGCCATGCACACCAGAAGCAGCAGCATCCATTCACAAAGAAAAGACTACAAGTCCTATCAGCCACAGCTGCAGACAGACTCGTAGATCTTAATGAAATACAAGAGTGGTCACCCTGGTGTTACTCAAGACCCACTGATTACTTACTCCAGCCCCATAACCAGAGGTCAGTACCTCCAAACGGAGCTGGTGCTGGAGGAATAGTCTGCGGGAACCTGGGCAATGCAAGTGATAGCAGTTACAATGCTTTGCAGGCTCCAATGCAAAAAATTAACAAATGCACATGTTCTTTCATCAATGTGTGTGCATTTATTCAATTTAAAAAAGGTGGACGCTTTAAATCTCCCCAAGCAAAATCAACTTCATCTCGACAACCCCGCCTGAACCTTTTTGGCAACGGCAGATGAAGATTTTATTGTTACATTGTATTTATTTTTGCGGAAAGGAAACGGCTACCGTGTGTCGTGACGGTTACATTATATAAAAAACGACACACAAGACCCACCAAGCGCTAAACAGGTACACGGCAAAGCTCTGCCAAGCATGAGCAGCCGCAGACAGGGACAGACTCAGAGAGAACTTTTGGTTATTTGATAAAATGCAATGCGGATTCTCTTACCTGCAGGATGAGCGCAGCCAATTTGAAGACGGCCTCGCTGTCCACGTCTATCTGCCCCTGCGAAGACAAGGAGACAGTCAGCACCAGCTGAGTGATCCCTACTACCAGTATATGCCTGTCACTGCTGTATACCTCCAGGTTCTGTTACAACAACAGATGATACCATTCCACATCATGGGGGGGAGAAGGGCTGTGTTTGGAAGCGTTGGCTGCTCTTGCAAAGAGACAAGCACTTATGCTAGCAGGCTGGGATTAATGGCTATCCATGCAGAGTGGCGGAACATCCAATGTTATCATTACAGAACGATCTCTGTGTGCAGTCAGGGTGTAGCTCTGTGGCTGCGAGTGCACTGAGTGAGCCAAGTTTGTACAGCTCCCCCCTCTGCTGGTAATAGTCCGGCCTGATGTTCAGAGATAAAGTTCCACTCAAAGACAAGTGCATGAAGACACAATGCCAGGACTTGCTGTTATTTTATGCCTAGCTTAGTTTTTTTTGTAACGCAGGGCAAGAATGCAAAATAACTTTTTATTAAATGAAGTAAAAGAAACCCCCACCACTTAAAAATGTTTATTAAATGAAACATGTCTACGCTGAAAACGGCTTCTGGAATTAAAGCTGAAGTTTAATCTGCTTATATTTTGCCTTCCCTGGTTCCCCCCCCCATCAATGTTTACCTAAAACCTTTCTCTTTTCATGACATATCTTATTTTATAGGGATGTCCTGATACCATTTTTTTAAGACCAAGTACAAGTACTGTCCCTCAGGTACTTGCCGATACCAATTACCGATACTTTTCCTTAAAGGGACATGTGGCATTTTTTTTCTAAAACAACACAGACGGATGATTTTAGGGCAGTTTCTCAACAGGGCTAAATACGGATGTCACCAGAACTGCATACATGTCCCCACAGCCGAACACATGTCCCTAAGGAAGAATAGTATTCTGCTTTGGGGACATGTGTTCTGCAAATACATGTCACCAAAGCAGAATTCCTCTCACCAGGCTGCGTGTCGATCTCACCGGGCGACGTGGACATCTGCAGTGGCTCTGTGGGCACTCCCCCTCATCGGCGATGTCGGGACCCAGCCTCCCCCATGTCCAGTCCGGCGATGCTGCCACGTCCAGTCCTCCACGTCAGGGGGCGGCAGGAACCCCCAGCTTCTAGCCTTGGGGCGGTAGTTCCGCCCCCGAGGCTGTCCATGGCTGTGCCGGCGCCAGGAAGGAGGAGGAGGAGATAAAGAAGTGGACAGGCACTGCCATGGACAGCTATCTGCAGGTCCCCAGCAGGCTGCCGAGGTCCCCACAAGCGCGTGAACTCGGACGGCCACTGCTGCTTGAAAATGTAAAGGGCCAGTATCGGCCTTAAGAATCCGGGCATTTTCACGAGTATAAGTACTTGTGAATTTGCCTGCTATCGGGACATCCCTGTTATTTTATATACAGTGATCACCGGGTCCCTGTGCTTCTCTATGCTATGATCATGGCTGGTGGGAGGGGCCAGCAGGGTGCTGTACATAACTTCCTGAAAACATCACAGAACCCTGCCTCGGTACTCCTGTCAAAAACCCTCAGCTCTGATGCAAGCGGTAGGCTGGCTCTTGGGAAGAGTTATGCAAATATCAAAATGGCCGGGTGTCAATCTGGAGCAGTGGGTGTTCCTAGAGTGTATTTGCAGTCAGGCTGCACTAGATGACACTCACATGTGATGCTGAGCCTCCTTGATTGAAAGAACTGAAATCCAATGAATGAAAGGGGCAGGGCCAGGGAGGGACAGGGACAGTCAGTCTGGGGAGGAAAGAGCTAGATGAAGCCAGGAAATGAGGCGGCCTCTCTCTGACTGGCTGCAGCTTATAATGCACATAGTGAGAAGCACCCAGTGTGCAGTGAAACAGAGGAAGCCATTTCAGTCCAGGAGAGAAGCCGGTACAACAGTGCAAGACTGAAGGGAAGTCCGGAGTTCAGTTTTTATATTAATTTTTATAACAGAATGAACTGAGCTGCTGAGATGAAAATGAAAAGCACTTTCTGCTGTAAATGCTGAAGATGAATTGCTCCATAGTGTCTGCAGCTACAGAGTTCAGTGATGGATTACTCCATAGTGTCTGCAGCTACAGAGGTCAGTGATGGATTGCTCCATAGTGTCTGCAGTTACAGAGGTCAGTGATGAATTGCTCCATAGTGACTGCAGCTACAGAGGTCAGTGATGGACTGCTCCATAGTGTCTGCAGTTACAGAGGTCAGTGATGAATTGCTCCGTAGTATCTGCAACTACGGAGGTCAGTGATGGATTGCTGCGTAGTATCTGCAACTACAGAGGTCAGTGATAAATTGCTCCGTAGTATCTGCAACTACAGAGGTCAGTGATTAATTGCTCCGTAGTATCTGCAACGACAGAGGTCAGTGATTAATTGCTCCGTAGTATCTGCAACAACAGAGGTCAGTGATTAATTGGTCCGTAGTTTTAGCAGCTACAGAAGTCAGTGATGGATTGCTTCATAGTATCTGCAACTACAGAGGTCAGTGATGGATTTCTCCATAGTGTCTGCAGTTACAGAGGTCAGTGATGAATTGCTCCATAGTGACTGCAGCTACAGAGGTCAGTGATGAATTGCTCCGTAGTATCTGCAACTACGGAGGTCAGTGATGGATTGCTGCGTAGTATCTGCAACTACAGAGGTCAGTGATTAATTGCTCCGTAGTATCTGCAACGACAGAGGTCAGTGATTAATTGCTCCGTAGTATCAGCAGCTACAGAAGTCAGTGATGGATTGCTTCATAGTATCTGCAACTACAGAGGTCATTGATGAATTTCTCCATAGTGTCTGCAGCTACAGAGGTCAGTGATGGATTGCTCTAAAGTGTATTGTAAAGTGTACTGCTTGTGGGGAATATGGAAACATTTCAATGTCCAAAGCCTGGCCCCGTACTATAAATGATAAAATGTGATATCAATGTGCCCATTGATGCCCAAAGGGCCCATTTATATTTGTGCAGTGAGTTAAAGGAGAATTATGAGGTGAGTGATTTTCACTCAGCCTCATAATCTGAGCCGACCTGTGACAATTAAACTGTCACAGGTCCGCTCAGTAGATCGGGAAGTGAGCGAACACATAGCGTCGCTCGCTCACTTCTCCATCTATCCCTGCAGAGAGCCGTGACTGTCACTCACGGCTCCCCGCAGGGATTCCCCCCCCTCCCCTGTCCGATCCTCCAGCGTTGACTGGCGGAACGGGGAGGGGGCAGGCCAAGCTGGCTCTGGATAGGCAGAGCCAGCTGTCAATCCCGCAGCTGGGTGGATCTCAACAGCAATGTCGGGATCCGTCCCGGCTGCGGCGGTCTCAGTATACCCGAGCTGTAGCTCGCGTTATACTGAGCTTTGGGTCACGGGAAGACGCTAGTTTGTGTTCTCCCGTGACCCTTAGGAGAACTATGGGGAAAAACCCTGACCCCATAGTTCTACTTTAAAGCACGTGCCTTAAAGTGACATTACAGTCAAAAAAATGCTCCCCCCCCCAATGCTGGTGTAAGGACTTACCTTAAATTATGGCTCTTGATTCGATCATCTTCTTCCTGCCAGTAGTTTTCAGGAGTCCCTCCAGCGCTGACTCCTGTCTCTTCCTGTCCCACAGAGTCTGGGACTCGCGGCTACGTGCATTGACTTACCCTGTGTCTCTCCTCTTCTCCCAGCCGAAGATCTCTACTGCGAATGCGCCCGCCCCATAATCCTTCTGCGGCCGCCCGACAATCTCCAGATCTTCGGACGGGAGCGAGCGGCGGAGACAGAAGTAAGTTTAAACCTGTTTGATAACTTTTTTTTTCTTTTTAATATTTTGCATATAGCTACTGCTTGCTAGGAATAGATATATGCAAAAATCTGTGAGGGCTTAATAACCCTTTAAAAGTTAATGTCCGTTGCATTAAAGCAGCCAATTGAAAACTATAGCACACTGCAAAGCATGTGCTTCACCTTAGTGCTTTGGGGTGCTCTTCATAACGAATGCAACCGCAATGTGTCACTGCATGCAATGCGCATTGTGGTAAAACGCACATTCCTGCAATGCATAGATGTAAATGGGCCCTTACACACACATAGTGACCTTTATAGCCTCATTCACACTGCTAAGAGCCGGTCTGTACAGATCCGCGTGGCGTGCACGGGCGTATCGGGCCGTTCCCGGGAAGGACAGGTGCTGCGTGTGATTGTACGCAGCAGCCTGTCCTTCTCTATGGGAGTATGCGGCCGTATGCTCACCTGAACTGCACATCCGTACGGGTGCGGGTGTCCGTGCTCGGACGCAGACAGGATCCATCCTGTCTGCGTCTGAGTACAGACACCCGCACGGATATGCAGTTCGGGTGAGCGTAGGGCGGCGTACGGCTGCGTACTCCCATAGGAAGGACAGGCTGCTGCGTACAATCACACGCAGCACCTGTCCTTCCCGGGAACAGCCCGATACGCCCGTGCACGCCGCGCGGATCTGTACGGACCGGCTCTTAGCAGTGTGAATGAGGCCTATAACTAGACAATCCTTTTTTTTTTTATATCTCAGCAGCCCATAGCAGGTTGTGTGCCCGGTTCCCGAGCACTTTATAGCGCTGTAGCTGCTCCTATTACCTTCACATTTTATTGCCTATTCTAGAAATTTCCCGCCAAAGTGTTATGTCCGATGTGCGTAGCGAGAGAGCCGTCAGCCGAGGCAGTAAAGGTAACACCGCCGCAGTGCAGCAACTGTGAGATATAGATCATTCCACATCTCGCTGAGCTGAAGTAGTAAATCCGCAACGTTTCTTTGGAATTCGCTGGTGCAGAGAATGTCCGACGAACCATTCTGATCTCAGTATCTGCAAGTGTGTGTGTGTATTTGCATTGTAAACCCTTACGTCTGATGAGAGGGGGCCCAAGGGGACACACGTTGCTGGGATTGTGGCCAAGTCAGCAAGTCTATGGCTTGCTTAAAGAGGAACTCCAGAAATGTAACTGTGCATTGCAAGGGTTAACTGCTCGTTTAGGTCTCAAATAAAGAAAATATACTCACTTGATCCTCAGTCCCACC